AAGATTAATTATTGACATAAAAAAATTTGGAATTTCTAAGAGATAAAGAGAATATAATGTTAATTTCATTTAGATTTTTAAGAGAAGTGATCTACACAATGTTCACAACTTCACGCGCACAACGAGCTCCTAGGATGCGTTTGCTGAAGAAACCAATGGAGAGTATGGCTAAGACACAATCAGTTTCATTCTGCGTATTTATATCTTTTGCAATCATTATTTTCAAAGATCAACAGTGGAAAATACCTGGTGGCATGCACATCTCAAAAATCATATAACCTCATGTTTCGTTTTGAATTTTTTTCCAAACGAGCACATAATAACTAAAATGTATTGATAAATAGATTTTTACATAATTTTTTTAATAATTTTTGGTGAGTTTTAATAAAATTTTCAAAGATAATTTACCAATAAATTCCAAGTTGTTGTTGGTAAAAATGCATAGTATTCTAATTTTTGCAAATTTTAAAGTTCATTAGGTAAATATATTTAACTAAATTTGCCACCCCTAAGAATTATCCTTATATAATAGGGTAAAGTGTAAAAAATTCCCTAAAACTATTGCTCTTTTGCAAATAACTCTCATGAACTAAACATTACCCTCCTGAAATATTAATTTATTGTAATTAAGAACAAACTCATCGCGAAAGACTATTTTACCCTTTCTCATTACATTTGTCATTTCTTATTAAATTAATTTTATTATCTTTTCTCTTATCTAAATATATATATATATATATATATATATATATATATATTTCATAAATTCTTATCTTTTCTAAATATTATTATACTATTTACCTTAATATTATTATTGATATCAATTTATCATAAAAATGAAAAAAAAAAATGAAAAGAAAAATAAATAAATAAATAGATTTTATAACTACCATTCTCTAAAATGACTAACTTATTGTTAAAATTTTATTATTTATATTTTATAATAAAACTTATTATACATAGTTTAAACTTTTTTTACCGTAGAAAAATACATTCTTTTAATACAATATATTGATAAAAAATTAATAAATTACTTTAATGAAAATACCTTCTTTTTTCATGTAAATTATTTATTATATTCATGAAAATTAATAAATTGATTAAATTGTTTTAAAATTTTCTACTTAAGATTTTTATATAAATAATTAATTTAAAAAATTAAAGGTAAATTTATGCAAATTTAATGTAGAGTATGTCATAAAATTAGTATGAATTTTTTTTCATAATTTATTTCAAATAAGAAAAATAGATTAAATGTAATTCAATAAGAAAATGCATTATTGTCATTTAATGAAATAAAATTTAGGCATTGGGGCATTTTATAATAAAATGTGATAATTTAAATAGTATTATGTATAAAATATAATTTGGGGGATTATTTGCAAATTCAAACATAATTGAGGATGACTTTTTGCTAATATAAATTCAAACACGAGCTTATATGATTTTGCTTGTGGTGGATATACACGCCTTAAGCCCAACGTCAACTGCATCATTACTAACTTGCAACATCCCTATTGGCCCGAAAAAGATCAGGCCAAGTCTACTCCAACTTTAGGGGCATGGTCCCGCGAAAGGTAAACTTATCTTATTCAATCTAAGCCCAATGGTTCAGCAAAAGGCCCACCAAAGGTATTTTCCACTGTTGACCTTTGTTTAATATACATGCATACCATGAGGTACAAGGCACTGTAACCTATCTGTCTCTTCCCACTGCTTGAAATCCCTGGGTGAGTCCAGCATACCACGTTATTTGTATGTGCACTCAATGAAAATCTAACAAATAAAGTTGTGAAAAATTATTTTTTTAAGTGATACAATTAATTGCGATGAATTTTTATTTAATTAATTATTTTTTTCTTAGTTGGTGGTATTCACGCACACATGTTTTTATTAAGACTGGAACCTTTAATATCATTTTAAAAAGTAAGAGACTGATACTACAAGACAATTGACGAATTTTCGTTAACCGAACATAGACATGCCTTATTACCTAATACATTCTCCCACTTTCACCTTCTTTTTCATTGATATTGCTGCGGATTAATGTAATAGTTGGATTGAGATATGTATTAACTCATTGCAAAAGCACATTAGCCCAACTCATTTTTTTTAAAGAGCAAACATTCAATAAGTACCTTTCAATCTTACTTTAACAATGCATGTGAATTATATCTATATGTGGCCGTGGTAACCTGGACAAGACTAATTTAACTTAAACTTACAGTTTTTCTTTAGTAATTAATTTTTTAAGTTTCACTTAAATTTGTTAAAATTCAACTTACTTTTATAATCAGTAATAAAAAAATTAAAGGGAAAATTATATTTTGGTGACCAAAATTAAACATAATTGCTATATAGTGACCTTAAAGTCAAGAAAAGGTGAATAGTGACCAATCTTGAAACTTAATTGATATTAAGTGACCATTTAAGGATAATTTGGTCAAAAACACTTAAAAGTTTAATAAACATTTTAAAAATAAATTTTAGATGATAAAATTGCCATCCAATATAAATAATAAGTCATTAAATTCATTCTCCTCCTACTCTCTCTCTCTCTAATCCAACGTTTTCTTTTTTTCCTTTTTAGTTTATAATTTACCAATTTAAAAAATTAAGATTTCTTTACCAACATTATCTTTTTTTCATCCTTTATCTATTTTTCAAGGCTCTCAACCATCTAATATTTTCCTTTTTAGTTTATAATTTACCAATTTAAAAAATTAAAATTTCTTTATCAACATTATCTCTTTTCCATCATTTATTTATTTTTCAAGGCTCTCCAACATGAACGCTCATAACATTTACAGTGACAAATCATACTTTTGAAACATCCTTTAACAGTTAGTAAAATTATGAAATTAATCAACAATAGTCATTATTTCTTGAACTATAACTAAGTAGTATTAAAATTTTTTAAAAATTACAATCTTATATCTCAAGAAAGATCTCTCAGACAAATCAACTCGTAAAGTATAATAACTATACCTTGAAAATAATGAATAAGAAGAAGTACAATTTTCTCGTCATGTCTCTTAGAATCTTGAAGAAAATGATATATAATATCCATTATCAGTTCTCTCCCATTTTGATCTTCTCTTCAGAGATTCACTTTAATAATTTGTTATCTTTTTGTTAGTCAATTTAAGTAAGTATTTATTTAGGTTAATGTAGAAGGTAAATTTGTCTACTTACATAATAATATATTATAAGAAGGCTATTTAGGTAATAAACCATCAAATGGTCACTTAATATTAATTAAGTTTCAAAATTAGTCACTATTTACCTTTTCTTGATTTTAAAGTCATTATATAGCAATTATGTTTAATTTTGGCCACTAAAATATAATTTTTTCAAAATTAAATTACTAAACGCATTTAATTACCTAACAAATTTAGTCATATGCGCCAAATTTAACTATCCCTCATCATCATGTTTATCCATCATCATCATGTTTACTATCTTAAACTCAAAAAGGAACCTTTCCCAACTTCCTCACCACCAATTTCAATACTTGCATAGTTAACCAATCCCATTTTAATAAGAATAATAATTTATAAACCCATTGGTCGAGCCGAGTGCATGGGGTCCACTCTAAGGCATCCAAAGGTCTTGAAATTCTCGCCCTTGAACTCGATTCATTCCTTCATCGACACGTATTAAGTCTTACTTGCTGTAGAAGTGAAATCAAATTAAGATATAATCATTCCCCAAACAAGGTTGTCTCCTCATTATTTACTGGAAAAAAATAAAAGAAGGTTGTCTAGATCAAAGCTTTTCTATTTTTCACGACACTAAAGTACACTTCCAAAAAAGGGTTATTAGTGCTAAATAGTTAGTCTCAATTAAGTAAATTGGCGCAACTGTAAGGGCAAACTGGTCTATGCCATTTACTATCATAAACAGAATACCTCTAAAACACTTTTTCTAGAACATTTTTCTACATGTTCTGAAAATATAATTATTAAAAAACCTTTAAAGATTTTCTTGATGATAATTATGGAAAGTTTGTAAATAATTTTTAAAGAGGATAAATTTTTTGACTCTTAAAAATTAGTCGGGTGTTTTATCACAATTCATAATCTGAGCATCTCCGTGTATATTTTTTTTTGTGTAAATCTAACGTATCATGATGGATTTACACAAAAATTTTAGATTATTTAATTTTAGCTCAAATGGTTATTTTATACCTTTTGTGTAAAAATATATCTCCCAATAACAATCAATCATGTGTCATGTTAAGATTCACATATGCATGTCAGAACTCACATAACTTTTACAAACTTACTTAATATATTAAAATTTTAGTTCAACGGTTGTTTTATACATTTTGTGTAAAAATATATTTCCTAATAACAATCAACCATGTGTCATGTTAGGACTCACATACACAGGACCCACATAATTTTTATAAATTTACTTAATATATGGTTGATTCTTTAATGAAATGAGAAAGAAAGATGAAAAATGAAATATATTAATTTGGCTGTGTAAAAAGGTTGTATATTTTACATAATCCTTTTACACATTGGTGATATGACAATGTAAGTTAACAAACTGCTAGAAATAAAAAAGTGGACTATTTTACCGTACTGTTGGAGATACTCTTATATATGATTGAAAAGTTGGACAACTCCAGAATTTTCTTAACAAAAGTATATATGATACATCATTTCAGAATAAAATTACGTAAGTGATAGCTCATACCTCATATATTATTTCATTTAAAAAATAATTATTTGGATTTCAAAAATTTGACAATTTTAATTTGTGTTATTACAACCTAAGTTTTTCTATTAATTCAATTGCCATATTCGTCTTAAATGTCAGTACTAGATCCCACATCCCTTCACTCACAGTATCAGATTAGAGTCATTGTTAAACATGATAGTGGTTGAATTTGTAATTTACCGCTAAAATAAACGGGAGTGGCATATTAAACAAATATCACAAAACAAAGGGTCAAAATTAAAACTAAACCCAGTATAAATCCCAAACCGACTTGTTTTATTTAGCCAATTGGTCCTCCCCATTTTCGCTCTACCGTCCATTGATTCTTCTCTCTTTCTCTGTAACCTTTTCAGATCTTTCCATATTTCCCCAACCCAATTTTCCTCTAATCCAAACACTTCCTTACATTCCCTGAAAACATTTTCCCGGGAAAATGAGGGAAATTCTCCACATCCAGGGCGGTCAGTGCGGTAACCAGATCGGTGCCAAATTCTGGGAAGTGATATGCGACGAGCACGGCATCGACCACACCGGAAAGTACAGCGGCGATTCGGAGCTCCAGCTCGAGCGTATCAATGTCTACTACAATGAGGCTAGTGGTGGTCGTTATGTTCCACGAGCAGTCCTCATGGATCTCGAGCCTGGTACAATGGATTCTGTCCGATCCGGCCCTTTCGGACAGATTTTCCGACCCGATAACTTCGTATTCGGTCAGTCCGGTGCGGGGAACAATTGGGCCAAAGGCCATTACACCGAAGGAGCTGAGCTGATCGATTCTGTTCTTGATGTGGTGAGGAAGGAAGCTGAGAATTGTGATTGCTTGCAGGGTAATTTTTTGAGAATTTATGGTTTATAAATATATATATATATATACACACGTGTTAATGTGATTTAGAATTTTGTTATTCTGTATTTGTTTTGTTGTTTTTATGATAAGGGTTTTTTTGTTGTGAAATTATGTGTTTTTGTTTTTGTTGGTTGTGATTTGGGTGGTTGTTTCTGAAATTATGTTTTTAGAGTAGATTGATTATATCTGTCATTTTATGGAAATGGGTGTTATTTATTTTTTTTTTTCCTTGTGGGTAAGAGGCTAATGGTTCTCTTTCTATTATGTATGTGAGTTTAGTTTTTATACATGTCTGGAAATTATAGGTTTTTGTTTATTTGCTTGAGAATTAGTTGTGATTACAGATTGATTTTATTTCAGTGTTTTCATGATCTGAATGTCACTCTTTTGAATCATTTCTGTCCTGAATATATTTGTGGTATTTAAAGCACACTTTTGTTATCAACTCCTTTATGCAAATTTGTTTTCCATGGCTGAAGAATAGATTAGAGTAGAATAACTGTTATATCTAGGTGCATGTGCAGTTCAATCCCACCGTAGTTAGCCATGAAATAATATTGCTGCCATACTTCATTAGACAAAATTATTGTTGAAGTTTATTTTCCATCTTTATTTTTCAGTAGCAAAATTATAGATATCTACTAGAAAGATGTTTCTAGTTTAAAGTTCTCTTTCTTGTACTTGGATGCTGCACTTTCATATTTTATCTGGTAGTGTCTCCCTGGTTTGAATGCACTGATTTTTTTTTTTTTTTTTTTTTTTTCCCCCTGGCAGGATTCCAAGTTTGTCATTCTTTGGGTGGAGGAACGGGTTCTGGAATGGGCACCCTTCTCATTTCCAAGATCAGGGAGGAGTATCCAGATCGCATGATGTTGACATTTTCAGTCTTCCCTTCTCCTAAAGTATCTGACACTGTTGTTGAGCCATACAATGCCACCCTTTCTGTTCACCAACTTGTGGAGAATGCTGATGAATGTATGGTACTGGACAATGAGGCTCTGTATGATATTTGCTTTCGTACTCTCAAGCTCGCAACCCCAACCTGTAAGTCCTAGCCGTATTTGCTGATCATAATTACATAAAATTATGGGAAATCATTTCTTTTCTCTTGTTCTGTTGTTCATATTGGATAAAAGCTTTTTCGAAGGATTAAAATTGAACTTGTGGTGAACGTTCCCTTGTTCATATTGGATAAAAGTCAACATAGGAAAGCAGGCAAGTTTTGAATAATGCGGCTTACTTTCTGTCCTTGTTATTCACACACCGATTGTATGCTCTCACTGTGTTATCTATAATTGAGAGAATTTGTGATTTTCAGAGATTACATTTCACCTGTTAAAGGGCCTTCCTTTCGATGGTGCACATCAGAATTTCTACAATCTGCTATTGCAAGTTAACTTGGAAAATATGCTGTTCATGAGTCCCTTTCAGTACCTTCTTTTATATCTTGTCAGCCTCTTATTTGTGGTAGTTAACTTTAGAATGGGTTGATCATGCCTCTTTTATTTTACAGTTTACTTACTTTTCACGTCTGCTAGTACAGTAGATATTGACAGTAAGATTCATCATAACTGATTTCGAATCTTATTAAAGTTTCATCATAGCTGTTTCCAATTTTTCTTATGCTTCAAGTTGTTAATCTAAATGATTTGGAATCTAAAGGGGACATGATCTGATTAAAGATTCATCATAAGTGAATGCTTATTAAAGATTCATCATAACCGTTTCCAATTTTTCTTATACTTAGAGTTTTTCATCTAAATGATTTGGAATCTGAAAGGAACATGACCGGATTTTTTCCCCCAAATATTATTTGATCTGCTTATTGTTTAGTTATTTTTGAGGAGTAACTGTTTTTCTGCTTATTTCAGTTGGCGATCTCAACCATCTGATCTCTGCTACCATGAGTGGTGTCACATGCTGTCTTCGGTTCCCTGGACAGCTGAATTCTGACCTCCGAAAACTTGCAGTTAATCTTATTCCATTCCCTCGTCTCCATTTCTTCATGGTTGGTTTTGCACCCTTAACCTCGAGAGGCTCCCAGCAGTATCGGGCCCTTACAGTACCTGAATTGACCCAGCAGATGTGGGATGCTAAGAACATGATGTGTGCTGCTGACCCTCGTCATGGCCGCTACTTAACTGCTTCAGCCATGTTCCGTGGTAAGATGAGTACCAAAGAGGTAGACGAACAGATGATAAATGTCCAGAACAAGAACTCTTCTTACTTTGTTGAATGGATACCCAATAACGTCAAGTCTAGTGTGTGTGACATCCCACCAAAGGGTCTGAAGATGGCATCTACTTTCATAGGCAATTCAACTTCGATTCAGGAGATGTTCAGGCGTGTAAGTGAGCAATTCACAGCAATGTTCAGGCGGAAGGCTTTCTTGCATTGGTACACTGGTGAGGGTATGGATGAGATGGAGTTCACCGAGGCTGAGAGCAACATGAACGATCTTGTAGCTGAGTACCAGCAATACCAGGATGCCACTGCTGATGAGGAGGAGTACGAGGATGAGGAAGAAGAACTTGCTGCATGAGGTACTTTTGTAATTTCAGTTTGTCTGAAATTTGTAATTCTATTGGCGCATTTATCAGTGAGTGATTGTGTTCCTATTATGAAAGTGTCAATTAGATTGACATATAGTTGATGATGTGAATGGTTTGTGGGTCTTTGTTTCTGAGATGGGTTGGTTCTGTGACCATCTTTGTAATTTAATGTGAATCAGTAATGTTTGTACTAAGTGGATGTGTGCTTATTATTAGAGCTACAGGAGTACAAATTCTTTTGTCAATTTGATGCATATGTTATGTAATAATGGCTTTAGAAGTTGTAAACCAATATTGATGTGCGAAATGCCTATAGGAAAGATGACAAAGAGGGGGGACCAATGTTAATTATGATGAATAATAATTCGGGGAGATGACTTGTAATAGAAAAGAATAGGAAATTATAATTCATATTTCGACTCCATTTATATAGGAATTTATAAAGTAAGGAAGATGACAATGACGACCCCATTCGTATCTGTTTGGCAAAATAATTATTTAAAGAAACGAGTTAAACGGCTCTTAAAGAATGACATAAATGGCTTTAGTTACTGTGAGTTAAAAAAATCAATTAAAAATGTTGTATTGACTCAGAAATAACACCTATTATTGAACAGTATTGAGGTTCATATCAGGCTTATCCTGATAACAAATACATTAACTAGTGGAAGGTGAGAGACAATGATCATAAATTAGGTGGGCTTGTTGACAACGAGGGGATATAGGGTCCAATTGGTGAGTTGTAACGATAATGCGTTTAATAAACCCATAGGGGTCCAACTGGTGAGTTGTGACAATAATGTTTCTAAACCAAAATATTAGTTTGGTTGTAACAAGCAACTCCTTAATGAAATTTCCATTTGACATTAGTAACCACTGCAATTTGCAAGCTGAACAAATTGATTGTAACTTGTATTGAATAATAATGATTGGTAGTTCGCACTTGTTGGTTTAATTAGTTATTTGGTCATTTATCGTGTATAACTTGCATGAAACCATTTCTGAGTCTTTTTCTTGAGAAATATTTCCCTGTAACCATCAAAATGGTGTAAAATTTACTGAAATTTGAGCATTATTTAGTTTCACGTAGCCACCTAGGATGATCAAAATGCCCTCAGTTTAACCAAATGGTCTTATGACCTATAGTCTAATGATATAATCTCTCATTCCAGAAGGGGAGGTTGAGAGTTCGAGTCTCACTAGGGAGGCTGTGGATAATGGGTGTGTAGCTCGGCCGCTCTAAACCGAAGTAACTCTAATTTTCTGATCTAGCGAACCTTTGGACTGTCTCTACACCCCTATCTCCTTTATCACTGATGTTTTTATGCGTTGAGCGTAGCTTTGGATGTCAATGAAATTAAAATGACTGTTTTATTTACATATCATTTGGAGGTGAAAATCCATTATTGAAGGAAATTAGAGCCATTGCCACAACTAGATGAGTTTAATAATCTTTGTCAAAGTTTCTGCTTATTACTCGTCAGTGGATACCAAAATGGACTCTTCAAAGGAAGAAGGAAGTTATAGGATAGTTAACAGGTATTCTGCATTATGTTTCTGATATACTCAAGCATAAATCACTATAATTAATGTTGTTATAATGTGAATGTAATGGACGTACACAAATCTTAATTTGTACTACTTTTTTTCTTTTTGTTTTCTTTATTTTGGCCACAGTATCATAATTTGTTAGAGGAATCTTCGATTGAAGAAAAGTCTCGAACTATATATATATATATTTATATATATATATATTTCTTTTAATATTTGTTCTTGTTTTTTACTCTCCAGATTGATAATAGCTATTTTCAATCCCTTTTAATACGAAGAAATACTTCATACAGAGACTAATAAACTTATCTTAGTCGGCAATTTACACCCTTGCATCAATCCAGAGCTTCTTCGATGTTTATCATGTTATTAGACCTGATAAATTCAACATGTTTGTATAGCTTTGGCTGACCGATTCATCAGAATATTCAATTTTTATATTCCCTTATTATATCATGAAAAATTAGCTTGCATTCATTCAGAGGCATATCCCTAGCCGGCGCGATTACATTTTCCATGCACGGTATTATGATGAACAGCAAAGAGGACTCTTTCATTCTCCTTCTTTCTAGCCTCTATCTCTATATAAGCACTGCATATGTACTGGTACTTGTATCACAACTGAAATATATATAAAGTTCTCGATCTATATTGATTATTTGCAATGGCCTCTTATTTTATTTTGTTAGCGACCTTGGCTATAACTTGTTCTGTTGCTTTGGCATCTGATTAAAGTCCTCTTCAAGATTTCTGTGTTGGAGACAAGAATGGTCCAGGTAAGAAATCTTTTGTCACTTGCCTCTGATATATAAAATCCCAATTGTACTTTGATTGAGTTTCATATTTTCTTACATTTTTTGTGCAACTTACATGGCAGTGCTAGTGAATGGCATGGTTTGCAAGGACCCCAAGCTTGTACAAGCCGACGATTTCTTCTTCAGTGGGTTTCACATGGCAGGCAACACGTCGAATGCAGTTGGATCAAAGGTGACTCCGGTAAACGTAGCTCAGATAGCAGGACTCAACACTCTTGGCATCTCCCTTGCACGTATAGACTTTGCACCATTGGGCATCAACCCTCCCCACACGCATCCTCGTGCTAGTGAAATTTTGACAGTCCTTGAAGGCACCCTTTATGTGGGGTTTGTCACCTCCAACCAGGAAAACCGTCTCATCACTAGGATACTTCGCGAGGGTGATGCGTTTGTGTTCCCGGAAGGTCTTATCCACTTCCAGAAAAACATGGGATTAAAGGCAGTTGCCGTTGCAGCTTTCAGCAGCCAAAATCCTGGTGTTATTACCATTGCCAATGCTGTCTTTGGATCAAAACCAGACATTTCTAGTGATGTTCTAGAAAAGGCTTTCCAAGTAGACAAGAACATAACCTATCAGATGCAGTCGCGGTTCTAGCCACTGGGCGGGCAACATTTTGGAACTTCCAAGTCAAGAAGAATGGCTCACTCAACTGGGTGTCTGGAATGTTTACATTATGTTTGTGTTTGGCTTGCAATTTGTTGATTTCATTTCTTTGTTATATTAATTGATTTTTTTTTTTTTTTTTTCCAAAGAGCAATAAAAATTTTGGGATGCAAATTATATAATTGTCAAACACTGTGCTTGTGCATATTATAACTGAGTGGTCAAGTAACTCTTCTCAATTCTTCCTACTGCTATGGAATGCTACTTATCTTCACAAAATTTTAAAGGACCCTTTTTAATTTTTATTGATTCTACGTCTTGCAAACTAAATTGAGAGACTATAGTCAATTAATAGAAAATATAAATCTTAATATAGTCTCTACATTTTAGCTGCTGTCTTTGATTAGTTGCTTGCCTATTGCCTTGGGGAGAGAAGGAGCTTCAAGAAATATGAATGGTCTTACCCATAATATTTCTGACCACGAATAGAATATATACACACACACACACACACACACACACACACACACACTAGATAAAAAAAAAAAATAATACAACTTTGACATGGTAAATTTAAAAATTGTCATATAAAAATTAAAATTTTATTGTCATCTTCATACAAAATAATTTATAGAATTTTATTGTCATCTTCACATAAAATTTTTATCTTCATTTAAAAATTAAAATTTTATTGTCATCCTTATACTAAATAATGTATTAGATATATTTTAGTTATTACAACGGCTTAGGTTTCTTGAAGGTTGCATGAGATGATTCACTTTCATTATTTTTTTCTTGGTTAAATATTTCACTTGTTAATTATTGTAGTCTTGTGAGACAAGTATTATTACTAATTATTCAATTTAAAATTAGAAAAGAATTATTCTCAACTTTTGCAACTTGTTACAAGTATATCAAGAAACTTTTAATTTAATTTCAAAAGGTAAAAGGTTAAAAATGTGTTAAAATATACAATTCTTTAGGTAAATAATGAACAAACTATTAGTAAAAGTGTATACAAATTAAATACTAGATGTATCAGTTAGCAAAATACCAATGTAAATAAAAATCTATCTATATATATATATATATATATATATATATATAAAAAGTAAATTTGAAAATGAAAAAATATAAAAAATAAAAAGTAAATGTGAATCACTAATGGTATGAAAATAAAATAAAATAACAAGAGGCTAATGAAGTCAAGATCCATATTGAAATACACATTTGAAGTGAAAGAAAATTGAAAATATATTGAACCAAGAAAATAAAAAAAAATGGGGAATATGTAACAATGTCACAACAAAAGGTAAAACCAAGTCATGTCTATTTTAGAGAAACTTAATTCATGTTAGACATTTTATAACTATTTTATAACTTGCATCCTATTTTCTTTATTTTTTTTGTTCTTGACAAATTTTAGGTCGATATTTTATTTTTGAACACATAGGCTTGCTGTTGGAAGGCTAAAACTATATAACAATAAACTGGATATGTATATATTGAGAAATACAAGTCTCTTCTCACTTAAAATGTTTGTAATTAGTAATTACTATATCATCACAATTTGAAAATATTTTTAATTTAAAATTTAATGATATCTAATATTATTTTAATTTCATGTAACGATTTTATCACGGAGTCAATTTAATCTGCCAAAAAAAAAACCAATTAGTAGTAAAATAACATACAATTTTCTTTTATATAAAAAAATAAAGAATCATCCTTGTACAACCAACAGAGATCAGTTTCCCTTAAATTATTGAAACTCTATTTTTTAGTTGACGGAATTGTCTCATCCTAGATGAGTACTTGAAGAAGAATAAAAAAAAAAAAATAAAAAAAAAACTTACTCTCTCTATTCATATTGAACTATGTTTCATCTTGTCTAGTTATATAAGTAAGAAAAGGGCGTAGAAGTCTAAGACGCTTTTTACAATTCCTTATTGAAATATTTTTTTTAATAGGGAGAGCAAGTAAAAGGAGAGAAAATCCTTGAAACCAAGAAGTTTTGGAAATGTCTATTAAATAACTCTTGCTATTTATAGATGCATGTAATGAAAAGGTGTCTTAGTATAGAGAGGTGTGAATTATAAGGTGTAATCATATAATTTTAAATGTATATGTGATAAGTACATAAAATCTATTATTTTATGTACCAAAATAAGCTTTTAATTAGATTTTTATATTATTTAAATATTTTCATATGTTTGTATTGTGTTTTATAGGTATTAATGCATGAATGAGAAGAAAAGAAACAAAAATGAAAAATAAGTGAAGAAGAGAAATGAGGAGAGAGAAAGAAGAAAAGAAAAAAAGAAAATAAAAACAAAAGTCAATTGCAACAAGAGAAATAATGTGCACGTGAAGAAAGAAGAAAATAGGAGAGAGAGAAGAAAATAAAAAAAGAAAAGTCAGCAGAAGTGTTTAGAAGTGTGTAACAAGGTGGTGGCTTGTAAGGAAGCAATATGTCTGACTGTAATGAGAAGGAGTGGCCTCTAATGAGAGAAGTTGGAATAAACAAATGGATCCACACATCACCTGTGTTGTTCATCCGGCCATAGGCAACCCCTTTTTGCACAAAAGTGGATGTGGATAGATAGAATTGATTTTTAGAAAGTTTTTCTTGGTTGTTCTAGTTGTAATTTCATTCTTAATTAATGTATTGTTATTTTATTACTTATTAGTTCTTGCATTTGAATTTTCTTATTCTAATATTGCTTTAAATAAGTGTTTTTCAATGTTTCTCTATGATTTGAGTTAATTCTAGTTAGTGACAATTTTTTTAAATCTCTTGTCCGGAAATAAAAACTCACTTGAATGTATGATTAGACCCTACTTACTATTAGACATTTTTAGTTAAATGGTTGTAGGTATTTTATGTTGATATGAAGTGTATTTGACAACCATAAGTCCATAAATACACACATATCAAATGACGCCGTTGCAGTTTCAAGATTGAGTTTCACATTTTGAACAAATTTATCTTCTCTGCTGCAATCTATTTTCTATTTTTACTTCGGGTTATTTTATTTCATTTGTTTGTTTTATCCATTTTGATTTTCTATTTTTCTTTTTGAAACCATCACTGGTAGCAAAAAAGAAAAAGAAAAAGAAAAGAAAAGCATTATGGTTTTCTTCCCCTCCCAGTTTTAGAAAGACAGAAAAAAATTTAATAATAATTAAAAAAAGTGTGAATTTTTCTCACACACACTTTCTTCAATTTTTTTTTTTTTTTTTTTTTTTTGTGACTCAGTAATTCCCCCACGCAGGGCCCATCATGGGATACAAACATGGGGAGTGGAGCCCTGCCCAAGGACACCTCTGGGTGAGTCCGGAAATGCAGAGGTTAGGAGTCGAATCCGGACCTCTAAAAACCCAAGCTCTAACCATCACTACTAACTATGCCCCGGGGGCTTTTTCTCACTGTTTTGTGCTTTCTATTTTGTTATTTATTATTCTATATATACATACATATATATAAACCATCTTCTTCACACTGTTGCATACGGTGACCCAAAAAAAAAAAAAAAAAATCAAAAAGAGAAACCCATATACAGTCAGGCCAACAGCCGCAAGCCCACTGCCCTTGCTCACAACGGCCACCTTCATCCAAGCTCGCTGCCGTCGGCAAAAATAATTTCATTCTCACCATCCGAACTCGTCACATTTACTGCCATCATCGCCCAGAGATCTCTTCTTGCTCACCGTCAGCTGCGGCAGTCATCACCACTGATTCTTGTTCGTCGCCAGGAAATTCTTGCCCACTGTTCTTTGCTCACCACCATAGAGTTCCGGTCACGACCATCACTGACGGTCCAGCTCCTCCGCCCTCCTTTCTCAATCTGAAGTTCGGTAGTTGTCGTCTCTTCATCCTCTCATTAGCAGTTCACAGCCGCACTCATCTCCGGCCCGTTCCAGACGAGTTCACCATCTCCGCCTTCATCATCCGAGATCGCAGCCGAGTTCAGACAAGTCCACCGCTGCGTAATCTCGCCGCCCCGCAAGTTCATAGCCGCGCTCATCGCCGGTCCGTTTCAGCCGCCGTTCACACCCTGTCTCTACTGGCCAAGTTCGCCGGGCCGCACGTCCAACAGCCGCCATCCTCACAGCCGCAAGCTTCCAAGCTCACCGCCGCGAGTTCAGCCGAGTACAACGTCGCCGCGCCGCCGTCCATCACGGCCGATTCCGCCGTCGCCATCTCTCCTCCGGCCAAGCTCGCTGTCGCCGGCTGCCCCTCTCATCGTTGCTGAAACTCTTCTGGGTTTGGGTTTGACAAGCTACATATATGATATAGGGAAAATTACATATAAATGGAGTCAAAGTTCTATATTTACTTAGAGGCTGGGTCAAAGTTCCATATTTCTCTAAAATGGATTGCTGAGGTGGCACATGGTTTTTTACTGTTTAGAAAATTGTGACGCCTAAAATGCCCTTCCCTAACAAAAAAGTAGTACCTTCAGTGCAAAAAAGTAGTACCTTCAGTTCAAAAAAGTAGTACCTTCGGAGAAAAAGTAGTACCTTCGTGGGTGTTTAAAAAATATGGTACCTGGACGCCAAAAAGTAGTACCTTCAGTTCAAAAAAGTAGTACCTTCGAAGAAAAAGTAGTACCTTCGCGGAAGGGTATTTTAGGCACCATAATTTCTAAACAGTAAAAAACCATGTGACACATCAGCAATCCATTTTAGAGAAATATGGAACTTTGACTCAGCCTCTAAGTAAATATGGAACTTTGACTCCTTTTATATGTAATTTTGCCTATGATATATGTATGTATAATATATAATATATAATATATATATATATATATTAAAGGCCCAAATCTCTCTGTTTGGCTACAAGTGTAGAACTGTCCTAGTTCAGGACCTGGACAAGAATCTAAACTGATTCTGTTGTAAACCAATTTCAAAAAAAAAAAAAAATTGCCGATTCGAATTGGGAACTTATTTTGGAGCAGTCAAAGCTTGGATATTCTCATTGGAGCACACGTGGAACAAACGACAAACGATAGCTTTGTCTTCTAAGTAAGTACTTCAAATTTTTATACCGCGAATCTTCCGTTAGCGGTTTCATTTTTTTTTTTTAGATTAGGAAAACTTAGTTTATTTTTTAGGTGATTAACTTTTGCATGCAAAGTTTAGGATATAATAACTTAGACGTAATCTTAGGTTTACACTTTCTTCTATTTTATTTTGTTTTGGTATTTCTTTTTCTTGAAAAAAAAAAAAAAAAAAAAAACCCCTT